AATGCTATGAGAAGGTTCCAGAGTTGTATGGCTTCCTTTATAAAGGATATGTAAATGTATAAGGTATCTTATGTTTTTTGTTTGTTTGTTTGTTTTGTTTTTGTTTTGTTTTTCTGAGACAGGGTTTCTCTATATAGCCCTGGCTGTCCTGGAACTCACTCTGTAGACCAGGCTAGCCTCGAACTCTCGAACTCAGAAATCCACCTGCCTCTGCCTCCCAAATGCTGGGATTAAAAGCGTGCGCCACCAGCACCTGGCTGTTTTTTTTTTTTTTTTTTAAAGGCATGATCTCTCGGTGAATGTATAATATCTTGAACTTAGAGAACAATACTGTCTTAGTATTCTATTGCTGTGAAGAGATACCTGAATTTAGCCTCTGGTACCACATGGTGATTGAACAGAATTAATTCCTACAAATTGTCCTCTGCCCACCACCCATGTCCTGTGGTACTTGAATCACACACACACACACACACACACACAAACACGAACACGCACACAGAGCTTGGCATAGGCTTTTGAAACCTAAAAACCCACCCCTAAAGATTCACTTCCTTCACCAAAGCCACATCCCTAATTCTTACAATTCTTCCAGGTAGCACCACTCCTTAGTGACTAAGCATACCTGTACATGAGCCATAGGGGCCATTCTTATTCAAATGTCCACATTTACTATGTATAATTAGTATTTGAAAGAGTTTTTTTTTTTTGGTTTTTTCGAGACAGGGTTTCTCTGTGTAGCCCTGGCTGTCCTGGAACTCACTCTGTAGACCAGGCTGGCCTCGAACTCTCGAACTCAGAGATCCACCTGCCTCTGCCTCCCAAGTGCTGGGATTAAAGGCGTGCGCCACCACCGCCCGGCTGAGTTATTTTTTTTTTTAAAGATTTATTTATTATTTTATTTATGAGTACACTGTCGCTGTCTTCGGACACACCAGAATAGAGCATCCAATCTCATTACGGATGGTTGTGAGCCACCATGTGGTTGCTGGGATTTGAACTCAGGACCTCTGGAAGAGCAGTCAGTGCTCTTAACCACTGAGCCATCTCTCCAGCCCTTGAAAGAGTTATATAGGTTGTCCTTTTTAGATTAGAAGCTTTTCACTTACTATACAGATTGGGCATCCCTATTCTGAATACACAAAATGTTCTGAAACTTTTCAAGTACTATTATCACGTTGTAAAAGTTTTGGATTTTGGAGCATTTTGGAATGTATTTACAAAATTTCCAATTTACAAAATTAAATTTCCAATGTAATTTTAAGAGATGATCTTTGAAATCTATGCAAAATTTCTCAAATCTCAAAAACTCTATTTCAGGTAAAGGATTAGCCATTCTGTATAAGAAATATCTCTACACACTCAGTTTTCACTGTGTCATTATCTTTTTTCCTATTTTCATCTCTGAGAATTTTTTTTTTTTTTTTTGGTTTTTCGAGACAGGGTTTCTCTGTGTAGCCCTGGCTGTCCTGGAACTCACTCTGTAGACCAGGCTGGCCTCGAACTCAGAAATCCGCCTGCCTCTGCCTCCCAAGTGCTGGGATTAAAGGCGTGCGCCACCACTGCCCGGCGAGAATTTTTTTTTAATTCAAGACAGAAGCAGAGAACTTCATAACTTATATTTGCAGCTTTCACAATACCAGAAGTCTACTTGAGATCGAAAAGCAGAGCCATTTACTAAGAAATCATTCTGTCAATGTCCTTAGGATAAGGTTTGCTGGAATCACAGAATCGTGAAGAGATTCATTTACAGAACCTGATGCAAATACAGGGAAGCCATTCCCTGTTTATGTGTGGGCTAAAATAAATGGGTCCCTGCTGACTACTGTTATAATTGTGGTAGTTGTCATGTAGTAAAAACAAAACATGTGTATGTCCAGGTTACTAATTTGAATATTAAATACAGTCTTTAAGAACCTCTTATAGTAAGAACACTGTGTCTGTGTTTCAGTTTATAAAAAGACCAAGCTGTATGTCATCCAGTTTGTGACATGTTGATAAATTTTATTGATAAACCCTTTTTTTCGAGACAAGGTTTCTTTGTATAGTCCTGGCTGTCCTGGAACTCACTCTGTAGACCAGGCTGGCCTCGAACTCACAAGGTGTGTGCCACCACTGCCCAGCGATAAAAACTTATTTCTAGTAGTTTAATGTTTTTAGTATATGGTTGAAGTTATTTGTTTCTGACAGACTGAGGATTTTGCTTTCTTTTTTAAAATTTTATTTATCTGTTCTTCTCTCTTACTATATATTCCAACCACAGTCTCCCCTCCATCCCACTTTTCCAGCCCCTTCTCCCCTCTCTTCCTGGATCTGTTTCCCTGTTTCCTTTCAGAAAAGAACATGCCTCCCTGTGATATCAACCAAACTTGGCATAACAAGATGTAGGAAGATTAGGCATAACCCTCATATCAAGGCTGGACAAAGCATCCCAGTAGAAGGAAAAAGGGCCCACAAATAGGCAGAAGAGCCGTAGAAACCCTTGTAAGATGCTAGTGAGCAGAGCTAGTTACCACCTAGTTACCTGAATGAACCATGTGGAGAGATCGCTGCAAAATGCAAGAGGAATTTTTAATGATCCAGTGTGCTGGGCCCATCCTGCATCCCAAAAGGAGAGGCGACCTCACACAGCTTGTTCAGCGGACCTTTACAGTCTCTAGGGGTAGCAGCCATTAGGCACAATGTGATTGGCAGAACAGTGACTTTTTAAACTGATTGGTCTTTAGGGAATGAGGCGGCAAGGACCTTCCTTGTCTGTAGGTGGCAAGGGTTGGTCAGTCCTGCAGTAGGTGCTCTGGGCCTCCCCTACCTGCAGGTGCAGGTTGCAGGGTTCCCTTCCCCCATGGTCTGAGGAATGTTAATCAGCCTCTCCCTTCCTCCTCTGACTGTTTATCCAGCAAGTGTCCTCAGGCCAAGGAGTGTTAATTAGCCTCTCCCATGTGAGGGGGGAATAAGTGTTCCAAAGTTCCTCTTCACCCCCCACTTCCCTTGTTAGGAGTCCAACAAAGTCCTCAAGCTAAAGAACCACAGCATGTGTGCAGAAGGCCTGCTGCAGACTCATACAGGCTTCATGCTTCCACTTCCTCTCTGTGAGCTCTGCTTCATTGATTCTGTCAGCCATGTACTCCTGGTGTTCTGGACTCCTCTGACTCCAATCCTCCCCCCAGCCCTCTACTGTGGAGGAGGATTCAATTTTGATGTGAGCCATTTGAAATTTGTATTTTCTTAGGGCTTTCCTTATACAGGATTTTGGCAAGCTGACTTGAGCAGATCTTATCAGAGCTACACCTTAAGAGCTAACAATATCAATATTGTTATCCATAGAATAACTATGATTTCATTATTATATATGGTACCTTTAGCTTGGCTGAGGTCATTCCAAAAGAATATATTTTGTTCGATAAGGTGTTTATTAAGGATGGTTGCAGATGAGCTTTCTTTGTAAGTATTATTTTAATAAATAGAGCCAGAATGACTAGAGTTGACACGTTGGTTGAAGTGCCTTAGATCAGATTAAGCCCAGGGACACAGGCAGGAAGAACAAGTTCAGGTCTTATCTGACCAGCTTAGTGCGGCTAAGATGTCCTTTGATGTAGCTTAGTGTGTTGGACTCTAAGATCCAAAACCAGGGGACACGCTCCCCCAGAAACACTCACGGATGGGACTCACTGCAATAACATGAGGTTTATTGATGATAAGATGTTAACCAGTATACTGGGGTTCCCCTATATACAGACAAGAGGAACCCCCAAGCCAAAGTTGGGAACAGTTTTTATACAGAGTTCATGAGGGAAACCACAAAGGTTGACTTTCTCAGGTCCAGTCTCTAGGTGACTCAGGTTATGACCATGAATGTCCTGGAGTGTGTCTGGGCCTTCCTTACCAGGCAGGTGAGTTCCCTCCCCTATGGTCTGAGAATGTTAATCAGCCTCTCCCTTTTACCTCTGAATGTTAATCTAGCAAGTGTCCTCTGACAAAGGAATGTGCCCCTCCCGGGATGTGTCCTGGGACAGTGGGATTCTTTCAAATTTATGTTCAAACCAAGACCCGAAAGTCCTACAAGTGGTGGACTCTAGGCACAAAGCCTTGGGTTCAGTCTCCAGGTCTAGGAGGAGGTCATGCCTCTATTTGTACATCTGTTGGGTAAATGGGCAGAATGCCAAGGGTTTTATAAAATTGAAATGCTTTCATGAAAACATTTGATCATTTTTAATAGTTTAATTTGATACCCATTTTATTCCCAATGTAGAGTAGAAAGAGCTGTTCTTCACCCAAAACAGTTCAGTTAGGAGATTGTTCTCTATACCTCTTTTAAATTTTGGAGTTGTTTTTTTCTTTACCTCAGTATATTTAGAATATTTCAGCATGCAATCAACATAAAAATCATTGTATTATTTTATGTGTCTATTTAATTTTATACTTCTGGTGGTGTTGGGGTTGAATTCAAGGGATGGATGAGCACTGAAGACCCGTTTGAGTCTTTTGTTTATAACCACACTCAGCAAGGATTATGCGGGTCTCAGGGACTAAGTGGTTGGATAAGGCTAATGTCTACTGTGTTGTACAGATCATGTCTGTCTACAGAGTCAGAATATATTCTTATTGTGTTTATAGGTGGACAGAAAAAAGACAGGCACTTTGTATGAACATTGAGGAATGTAATAACTTGTTACTAAAACCAAAAAATATGATAACTGGAATTTTCTTTCTTTCTTTCTTTCTTTCTCCCTCCCTCCCTCCTTCCTTCCCTCCCTCCCTCCCTCCCTCCCTCCCTCCCTCCCTTCCTTCCCTCCCTCCCTCTGTCCTTCCTTCCTTCCTTCCTTCCTTCCTTCCTTCCTTCCTTCCTTCCTTCCTTCCTTCCTTCCTTTCTTGTCATTTGTTGGGAAAATGAAATAATTCGAAATACTGAATGAAATGAAAAATAATTTCATTATTTTTTCTTTGTATGTATTTACATATTTGTGTTTCATGAAATTTGAGTATATGTTCATAATCTTTAGCATAAATGCAGTTCCACCTACAACGAAGATTTTGTGCTGCAGCTAGAGAAGGAATTGGTCCAAGCCAGACTGAGTGAGGCTGAGTCTCAGTGTGCACTGAAGGAGATGCAGGATAAAGTGTTGGATATAGAGAAGGTAAGAGACTACATAAATAGTTCCTGCTTCTAAATCTGAGGGAGGCGTGCTTGATACTTGTTAAGTACTTATTAAAGAGTTGAATTGGACTTGATGTTTTTTACACGTGAGGAACTATGAGTATTAGTCATTGAATCAGCAAATAAGGAAATGTTGCTTGTTGGTATAGTGCCTGCTTAGAATGCATGAGGGTCTGAGTTCAGCTTGCAGCACATAAAGCCAAGTATAGTGGCACACACCTGTAATCCCAGCACTGGGATGTGGAGTGAAGTTCAAGGTCAGTCTTAGCTACCTGCTTAGTTGGAGGTGTGCATAAGACGCTATCTAAAGAGAGAGTGGCTAGGAAGAAAATAAACGTAACCTTAAGGCTACCAATTCAGAAAATCAGTGAGTTCAAGGTTATTCTCTACCTTCTCTTCAATCTGATTCAGGCTATCTGGTCTTTTCATTGAGGACTTTAGTCTCTTTGGGGTTGAGTTTTAGGCAGTGGTATATATAGATCTATTTGCATTCTTCTTTAAGCAGCCATTCAGTTTGATCAGCTATTTGTTGAAGATGCTGTGTTTTCTCCAGTGTGTAGTTTTGGATTCTTTGTTAAAAATCAGGCATCCATAGGTCTGTGGACTTACATTTGATCTTCAGTTATTCCGTTGATTCAGCTGATTCAGTCAGTCAGTGTGCCTGCTCTCATGTCAGTACCGTGCTGTTGATTATAGCTGTGCAGTCAGCTTAACTGCTAGCAGTTCTCCTCTTATTCAGTCTTGTTTTAGCTATTCCAGGACTTTGTTTTTCCATACAAAACTGAAGATTGATTTTTCAATTTCTTTGAAGAATTGTGTTGGAATTTTAATGGAAATTGCATTGAATCTGTAGATTGCTCTTGGTAGGATGTCCATTTTTTACTATATTAATTCTACCAATCCATGAGAATGAGAGATCATTTCATCTTCTGATGTCTTTAGTTAAGTGTGCCAGTTCTCTTTGTTACTTTGACACAACTATATGTTCCATATTTAAATATGAATATGAATAGAGATGAGTTCTATCCCCCAGAATCTGCATGGTGGAAGGAGAGAGGGCTAACGCCTACAGCATATTCTCCGGCTTCTACACATGTATACGTGTATACAGACAGGACTACACAACTAATTTAAAAGAATCTCAACTTTTCTCTGACTTTAGAAGAACAACTCATTTCCTGATGAGAATAATATTGCAAGGCTTCAGGAGGAACTCATTGCTGTGAAGCTGAGGGAAGCCGAAGCCATTATGGGTTTGAAAGAACTTCGACAGCAAGTCAGAGACTTAGAAGAGCACTGGCAGGTATGTCAGGCCTGACACGTTTTCTGGAAGGAACCAAAACCGATGTACTTAGTTTGTGTGAATTTGAAATAGCTGGTGATGAATCTTGCTTTATGTCACAATTGAGACATCCCCAAAACCTCCCAGATACACCCTTTGCCTTACCTCCCACCCTCAGGTCCTCCTTTTTCTACACTCACTAGTCTAGTTTGTACTGCCCATATACTTATGGGTATGGGGTCATCCATTTAAGCATGATTGATTTACCAGGGGCCACATTCTTAAAGAAAACTGACAGTCTTATCCAGGAGCAACTGTCAGGAGCCCAAGAACTCGCCCTGCCTCCTGCTGGAGTGCTCACTGGCTTGATTACACAGGTCATGTGCAGCAACCACAGCTGCTGGGAGTTCACGAGTGCAGTGGTCCTGTCAGGCCCAGAAGACACTGCTGTGCCTTGGTCTTCACCAAAGCCCAAAGGCTTTCAGGCTTTTCCATTCCCTCTTCACAGTGGTTCTCGAACCTTGCTGGGAGGGAGTGTGACACAGATGGCTCAGCTGTCCATATAAACTTGTTCTCTGCACCTTGATCACTTGTCAGTTTCTATGTTAGCTACAAGCCACTGTACAGGAAAATTTGTCTTATGAATTGCACTAACCTATGGTATAGAAATAGAACTTATATTTTTGGTTGTGAACCTAGTCTTTAACTGCTGAGCCATCACTCCAGCCCTAGAAATGGAACTCAGAAGACAATTTGATAATCTGTTCACTTATTAAACAAAGATTTTTCTTTACTATTAGGTACATTGTTGGAAAGTATGAAACACCTGAAGGGAACACCAATGTATATATGTAAATTTCTAACTTCTTTTGAAAATGCTTATAACAAAATAAATGACACTTTAGATACATTCCCATAAATGTATCTACTTGTGATAGAAATTAGGTAAAGAACAAACTCTGTAAGACAGAAGAGAATAAGTTTTTAAAAAGCACAGTTACGGGGGTGGTGAAGCGCACACCTTTACTCCCAGCACTTGGGAGGCAGAGGTAATCAGATTGAGTTTGAGGACAGCCTGGTCTACGTAGTGACTTCCAGGACAGCCAAGGCTACACAAAACCCCACCCTGCAAATCAATTCACCCCCTGCAATAAACAAAAACAAAAACAAAAACAACCCAAAACCCTACAGTACATTTTCAGAATGGTGGCCATGATTTGAATGGAGTGTGAGGGGTAGGGAACTGGGGGAAGGTTGAGGGGGTGGGAGGATAGGGGTCCTGTGAGATGGCTCTGTGGAAGGAGGCAGTTGCCACAAGGCCTCATAACCAAGGCTGAGAACCTGAGTTGGGTCCCCTGGCTTCACATGGTGAAAGAGAACTGACTTTTGCAGGTTGTCCTCTGAGCTCCATGTATGTGGTATGGAGTATCCCTCACTCCCAAACCAGTGAATAAATGTAATATAATTTTAGAAGAACATGACTTTTAAAAAATGAATTTAGAAAAATACCTAGGTGCAACAGTTTAAATTAAGCTGGGCATGGTGGTATGTATCTGGAATCCCAGCCCTTAGGAGGGCTGAGACAGGAAGAGCTTTAAGTCCAAAGCCAACCAAGAGTACTAATTACAAAGCAAAAGCATCTCTTAAACAGGTAACCAAGTGACCGTGGACAGTGCTCACGTCGTGCTCTGTAGAGTTAACTCATCCTCTGTAGAGGACTTGCTGCAGTATAATAATACTTTCTGCTTTAGCGTCACTTAGCTCGGACTTCTGGAAGATGGAAAGACCCACCCAAGAAAAATGCTGTGAATGAGTTACAGGATGAGCTAATGAGCATTCGCCTTAGAGAAGCGGAAACACAGGCAGAAATAAGAGAGATGAAGCAAAGGATGATGGAAATGGAGACACAGGTATGATGGGCAGGCCCAGGTTGGTGGAAAGCAGCGCTAGATCAGAGTCTTACGCAGTTGTTTTCTCAATATTTCTAAAAATAACAGTGACTATAAACAGATACTACAAAGAGTGAAAATGTAGGTTTTAAATGGGAGGTTTGAACATCATGCCATTGTGTTTAAGGGAGTGGTAAATGAATCAGGTTCACTGTGGGATAATCCTTAGGACTGACATAAAAGCTGAGTTCTAGACGTCAGTTTCTAGTCCTCATGCAGACAGCTGAAACTAACCTATTGCTGTCTGCCCTTGTTCTCTTAAGACAGCATCTGTTATCCAATATGGAGCTCCAGCAACTGTTGTTGTTTGTTTCAGTTAACCTGGCTGGCTAGCAAGGTCCAATAATTGGTCTGTCTGTCTGTCTGTCTGACACTATAACTCTAGAGTTAAAAATGTGAGCCCACCTTTTATTTGAGCCGGGGATCCAAACTTAGATCTCCACGCTTGTACAGAAAGCGCTCTCACTGAATCCGTGTGTGTATAGAAAGCGCTCTCACTGAGCTTTGCCCCCATGCTGTTTGGTTTGTTTTAGCTTTGTTTATTTTGAGTTTTGTGGATTTTTTTGAGATAGGGCTGTGCTGTATCCCTGCCTGGCTTCTCACTTTGTAGCCTGAATTGGCCTCAAACTAATGACAAATGTGCCCCAGCCTCCCATTGCTCAGATTACAGGCAGAAACATTTTTTTCCTCAGAGACACAATCTCTGCTTTGACCCTTCAATAAAATCGAAACAAGCTAGATTTTTGGGTTTATTAGTAAAACTCATAGGGTTGCCTTATTGCACGAATTAAGAAGGAAACTTTATGTAGAGCAAGATTCCTCAACTTGAATACTTTTTAAATGTTTGAGCTAGAAATTATTCGTTTTGTTTACCTAGCCTGTGCATTATAGGATGTTTAGCAGCACCCTGTCTCTGTAATGATTAAACCTGTCTCCATGCATTTCCAGTAGCAAATCACATGTGAGCTACAGTGTGCATTCTGCCTTTTCAAGTGTATGGTGGATCCTGAGTAACTGAGTCTCCTGTATTAAACCCCTGTCTTAAATACATTTGGCCTAAGATTTGCAAATTATTTTGTTTATAAAACCTGTTGTATTGTAAAGGCAAGTTTGCCTTTTTTGAATTACATTCTTCTGAGCTGTATTTCACATAAGGTTGTCCTGTGGGATCCATGGGGCAGATTGTAAGATCTCCGCTGATACTGAAATCTTCAGACGCTCAAGTTTCTCACGTAAAATGGTGTATCATTTGTATATAATATTTGTAATACATTCTCCAGTATACTTTAAACCATCCTTAGGTACAAGGCCTATACAGCACAAATGTGATAGAAATAATTTTTGCTCTCTACTGTTTAGGGAATAATAAAAGTCTGAATATGTGCAGTATAGATACACTTTAAAAAACTTAAGTCCTTAGCAGTGTGAATTCATGGATACACAGGAAGGGCTAACCAAGCATGTGATTGGTTTTCAGAGGATTTCTTCAGTCAGTAGGGGGCATAGTCTACTCATGTGTCACTTTGTATTCCAGTGAACAAATAAATGGTTATTCCATGTCAGGCACTATAAAGTGACTATGCAATCTCTAGGATAAGCATACCTTGTTTCATATTTACTTTCAAAAAGTTCTATTGAAATTAAAAATATAGAAGAGGCTAAAATTATGTAAAGTAGAAATTATATTTTACAGTGGGAAGTTTTATTTTATGAGCAAAGTTTCTATTTGTACACATGCACATATATGATTATGACTATCTCTCATTCATATATATATATATATATATATATCTTATTAGATAATTAAGTTTCTATGTCATCCCAAGGCTGCTTCTGTGCATTGATTGGTCTCTTATTATGTACTTCTGTTTCTCCTTGCTTTTTTACATGCTTTGTAAAGTTTTGAACACATTTTCATGTGCCCCAACAAGTTTACACCAAGAAAGATTGATTATCTTGAAACAGACATCCATAGTATGGAGAAGGGGATAGCAGCAATTAGGTATCTTGTATAGGGCGATAACTAAGGTAAATAAATAGTTTTTGTGCCTAGCAATGGGTATACATTTCCATCTGCCAGGCCTTACATGTGGCGGATTTGAGTTAATACTGTCAGATGGACTGAGTTGACTATTGCTCTATGGTTATGCACAGTGCACTTCAGGGTTCAAATTCCTTTGGCAATACCTCATTTTCAGGATGAGGGATGGTTTCTCAGACAGCTTTTGTCCTGTCTTTATTCTGTATCATACCCTAGAACCAGGACTGGATTCAGCAGTATTCCTCTATTGCTTGTTGCAGGAAATTGGAGGGGCAAGGGTATTTTCTGATAAGCCCCAGCCTTAACTTCCATTTTGCTTTTGTATCAGAGGTATTTGACCTTCTAATGCTTCTGCCCACCAATGGCTATAGCTCTTAATCCAGAACCTATTACTGCTTCTTCCCTAAGATACAATGTATTTTGTAACACTAAAGACGCCATTGTCTTTGGGTCTGTGCCAGATAAAGCTTTGATTCCTTGGAGGAGATAGGTAAATTAAATGTATTCTTCCTATAATAGTGAGTTTTCTCTTCCCTCTAGCCTATACTGTGGATGTTTTAAAGACAAGTTTTTCTATGGGGTTGCCATCCCCTTCAGTTCCTTCAGTCCTTCCCCTAACTCTTCTATAGGGGTCCCTGACCTCCATCTAATGTTTGGCTATGAGTATCTGCATCTGTCTCAGTCAGCTCAGAGGACTCTGTCTCAGAACCTCTCAGAGGACTGCTGTGCTAGTCCTGTCATGCATGCCCCGTTGGGTCTGGGTTAGGAAGACCAACAGTATCAACTTATCTGGACTCTTGGAAGCTCTCAGAGACTGACCCACCCACCAAAGAGCATACAGGGGCTGGCCTGAATCCCACCTTGCCCACACACACATATCTAGCAGTGGGCTGCCTTGTCTGGGCTCAGTGGGAGAGGATGTACCTAATCCTGTAGAGACTTGATGTCCCCGGGTGGGGGGATACCTAGGGGAAGCACCCTCTCAAAGGTGAAAGGGAGAGAGTGAGGGGGGAAAAACTCTTGGAGTGGGGACCAAGAAGGGCCAACATTTGGGATGTAAATAAATGAAATAATTAATTTTAAAAGACTCTGGCTAACCTTTGTTGTGGTACATGGCAAGAATGTGTTCAAGAACTTAGGAATTTTTCTAGGCCAATACCTGGCTCCACTAGTCCGATGTTCATTCTAGCTAGATTTTCTTTACAGCTTATAGCTGCTTCTGCCCTGGTAAGAAGAGCTTAAATCCCCTCCCTTTTCCTTAGGAGGCTTCTAGGTTAAACTGAGTTCAAGCTCAGCCCTCATCCCCACCCTTATTTAATCCGAAGATTGGGGTCAGTATTCTGGCTCTTCCTATCCCCACTCAGAGATCAACAGCTCTCATTATCTGTTAGTTTGTACTCCCATTTTTATCCCCCATTTATTATTTTTTTTTCATTTTCTAGTCTTTTTCATGTATTTTTTCTTGTGAGAAGTTTTCTCTTGACTTCTTTATTATTTCTTATTAAAGTTTATTATCTGAAAAATTGGAAGTACTTGCCTGGCTAAATGAATTCTAAAGGCAGTAATTATATCTTGATTTTAAACAGTAAGGCCCTCAGAAGAACTTGCTATGTTCATCCATGTTACATATTATTTTGTATGCCCCTTGTATGCCTTCAGATGATTGGATACTGCTGTGGTCGTATGGTGCTCATTTGATTTGGTCTGTCTAATCCTCTGTTTATTCTGACTGATGCATCCTTCCTTCTTTCCCTCCCTTCCCCTTCCCCTCTTCCTTCTCTTCCTCCTCTTCTGTCTTGCTTTGTTGTCCGGGCTGGCCTCAAACTCATGATCCATGCAAATAGCCAGGATTATAGGTGTGCGTATCACTTCACTTGGCTTTCTTTGACTTTCTTAAACTGAGGTTACCTTTATTCTTATATGAACACTTAATTGAGTAAAGTCTTGTAGGCTGAAAAACAGTCTCCTCTAAAGCATTACATATTTTCTGGTAAAATGCCTTCATTCTCTTTCCTTCATATATATTGAATTTTCCTTGATTTGCTTATTTCGCTAGCGCTCTGAACTTTATTATTCAGTGTCTTGGTGAAGATTTATTTGCCTTTACCATCATTGGGATTAGCTGTGCTCCCTGAACTGTAGATTCATATTCATGTGTTTATTTTTTGAAGCACTGGAGATTGAATCCATGATAGTTAAGTGCTGTATCAGTGAGCTTCATTCAGCTCTCTTCTTACTTTGGGGTATGGTTTCACTGAGTCACATGGATTGCTTTGAGCTCACAGCGTAGTCCAAGTTGGCCTGGAATTTGTGGTCTTCTTGGCTCAGCCTCTTGAGTATCTAGGTTATAACCTTACCCAACTAGGCCTAGGCTTTGCTCACTTGTGTGTGTGTGTGTGTGTGTGTGTGTGTGTGTAGGTGTGTGTAGGGCAGGGGAAGAATAAAATTTTCTCAAATATTTTAAAAATGCTGAAAATTTGGACCTTCTTTTATTTTCTGTCTTACACATTCTTTTAGAACACTAATATTTTACAGTATTCATGCCTAATCTTGTATTTATTCCTTTCATTGTGTGTGTGTGAGTATGTATTATGAATATATACATATTTGTATATGTTTTGGGGTGGGGAATGCGGAGGCCAGAGGCTGACTTGGGGTGTCTTCCTGGGGTCACTCTTCATGTTAGTTTTGAGACAGGTTTCCCTTTGAGTCTAGAGTTTATCTATTGGCTAGGCTAGATGCCAGTGAGCTCTAGAGGTCTTTATCTCTATCCTCCCTTGCTGTTTGCTCCCCAGTGTTGGGGTTACATATCTGTACCACCCATCTTTATGTGGGTGTTAGAGATGAAAACTGAAGTCTTTGTGGCCATACAGGCCAAGCATTTAACTTACTGAGCTGTTGCTCTAGCCCTCATTGAATTTCTATTATCAGCAGTTATACTGATTTTTAGAAATTTTATTTGATTAGTTTTAAATTTGCAAAATTTTGTGAGGCATGATGGCACACTTTTATTATTATTTTATTTTATTTTTTTTGGTTTTTTGAGACAGGGTTTCTCTGTATAGTCCTGGCTGTCCTGGAAATCACTTTGTAGACCAGGCTGGCCTCGAACTCAGAAATCCGCCTGCCTCTGCCTCCCAAGTGCTGGGATTAAAGGCGTGCGCCACTACCGCCCGGCTACTTTTATTATTTTTTAAAAGATTTATTTATTATATGTATATGAACACACTCTCACTGTCTTCAGACACACCAGAAGAGGGCATCAGATCCCATTACAGATGATTGTGAGCCACCATGTGGTTGCTGGGAATTGAACTCAGGACCTCTGGAAGAGCAGTCAGTGCTCTTAACCTCTGAGCCATCTCTCCAGCCTGATGACACACATTTATAATTACAAAACTCAGCAGGTAAAAACAGAAAGGTTATGAATATCAGACTGACCAGGCTACATAGCAAGACACTAGCTCATAAACTAAAAAAGTTTCTTTGGCCAAATTCATTGTTCTTCCTCCCCCTGGTCTAACTTTGAAGTAGCACTGTGTGCTGCAGTGTGGCCTTGATCTTGGGTCTCAAGTGCTAAGCCTGCCCCGCCATGCCACTTCTGCATGGCTTCTCATGGCTTCCCTTCTGCTCATGCTTTTTCTTCTTCCCTTTATATCTTCAATAATTTTAAGCATTTATTTTATTTGAAGTCCTCATATAATTACTTCACTATGAGAAATTATTAGAATATACTCTTTTCTTTTATGTCATGCACTGTTCTCACCCACAGTTAAGTCTTGCATTGTGGTTTTGTATTTTGTCGTTGGAAGAGTTTTTATCCTAGAATTCTTTGCAGCAGTATTGAAGGAACATCCCTCTAAAATAGGGTCATTTGTTTTAGTGTTAGCATGTAAGACAAAACTTGTAGATTTTTTTGTATAAATGATATACTGAAGTCTAAAATTTTCAGTATTTCTAGCATTTTGAAGCAGAGTCTCATGTAGCCCAGGCTAACCTCAAACTCACTACAAAGACAAAGCTGATCTAGCACTCCTGACCCTCCTATTACAGGTGTGCGCAACAATGCCAGGCTGATGTGTTGGCTAAGAGTTTGTAATAGTCTTTTGGAGAATTCAGGTTTTTTCTTTTAAAGATTAATCTCTCTCTCTCTCTCTCTCTCTCTCTCTCTCTCTCTCTCTCTCTCTTTCTTTCCCCCTCCTTCTCTCTCTTCCTCTCTCTCTCTCTCTCTCTTTCTCTCTCTGAGAATTCAAGTTTTTTCTTTTAAAGATTTCTCTCCCCCCTCTCTCTTTTGAGACAGGGTCTTGCTATATAGTATGGGATGTCCTCAGATTCACTGTGTAGCCCAGGCTGTCCTTAATCTCTTATTCAACATCCTTCCTCAGCCTTCCAATTACTGGAACTACATATGCCGCACAATTGACTGAGGATTCTTATACTAAAAGTATACTAATATAATAATATAATTAATTAATTTAAGTAAGTAATATAAAAACAGTTTTATATCTTCCATTTTTTAGTACACATTTTAAGTAACTTTTTATAAGGCTGTTGAAGTATAAGATGGACAAATTAAAACAATTATTAAAAATTTCCATCCTTTATCTATAGAGTGTCTATTTACATTTTTTACTAGAACCAGATCAATAGTAACCAGCTTCGAAGAGCAGAGCAAGAGGTGACTAGTCTGCAGGAGAAGGTGTGCTCCCTGACTGTGAAGAACAAGGGGTTGCTGGCCCAGTTAAGTGAGGCGAAGCGCAGACAGGCAGAAATTGAATGCAAGGTGAGTGTCAATGCAGTGGAGCTTTATACATTTATCAGGATTGGGTTTGGGTTTGTTATATAGCCTTGGCTAGCCTGGATTTTGCTTTATAGACCAAACTGGTTTCAAAACCCCATTGATTCTTTTGCGTCTTGTTGCTGGGATCACAGGCACTCAGCACACTCAGGTTAAATTTTCCTTCATTTTCCTGATCTTGTTACAGTGGTTGTTCTCAGACAAGGTTAGCTCACTTTGTTCCGAGGGTGAATTTCAGGGAAGAAACCTCATTTTTAACCTTAGCTTTGCTTAAGTTAATGTCTACATTGGCATTTACTAATGCTCATTTTTGATGAGTATCCCTTTAAAATGTAGCTTGTAATGACTCACCTGAAAATGCTGGTAATTGCAGAGGTGAAGCTCCTCCCTGAGTCATTGTGTTAGCATGCAGTCACTACTAATGGTTTGCATAACAGAGAGCAAGAGAAATGTGTGTGTGCAGGTGGGTTAAGAAAAATGAGTACAGTTTCTGTTAATCTTTTAAAATATGAAAGGAACTTAAGTAGCATTACGTAATGAGGACAGTTGGCTGGGGCCATCGGATGGAGACCAGCGCTCAGACGCACACGTACAAGTGTGTGTCAGAAATCACTAAAGAGGTGCAGGGTCCCAAAGGGAAGTCGAAATACTTTAACAGAAAGTACTAATCTCTTTAGCAGACAGTAGGGATGGCACCCTTATGTATTCAAGCCTTATTATTCTATGAAAAATAAGACTTTCAGTGGCACATATAAAGCTGTAATTCCATCAACTTGTTCTGGTGTCATTAATAACCAAGAGTGAAGCTTGAGTGGTTTATCAGTGTCACTGAAATCCAGAGATGAAATTACATCCTAATAAATATTCATGGCTGTTAGAATTTAGACTGAAGAAATCTGTAGGCAGCAGTACAATTGTACTAACTCAAGAATTGACCCTTTTCAAAAATGCAACTGGATTCATTTAGAAATAAGGTAGTGCACACTGAGGTTACATCCCTGTGACTTGTCACAGTGATAGCTGGCAGAGATTGTAATGCCACATTGCCTTTAACCATTTCGTCTTTAATAGAGAATTAATTTAATCTTCTCTATATGGATGTCAGTTTTCTTTAAACATTTTAGTAACAATGTTTCTGAATTTAATTGTATTGGTACCTGTTAGCAAAATAAAAAAAAAAGTTCAATGATGACGATCCTTGTTTTGAGTGTTTCTGAGTGATGGACAGACTGGTAGAGACTCTGCAGGTGGACACAGGATTGTTCTCTTAGTTTTAATTTGTTCATTTGTACCTTGTAAAGTATACTGAGGATACTTGCTGTGATACGCCTTTGTATGCCAGCTCTAAATTAATTAAGTTTTCTCTCCTGCCTTTTGCAGATCCTGGTAACTAATGTTAGTGTATTAATTGTCATTCTAGCAGCTAATATTTGTGTATTCCCCTTGCTAGAGTGTAACAGTTTTATAACAACTGTAACTTTTCAAGGAAGCCAGTCCCTTAGTTATCTAAGTATATTCATTTTCATTTACATTAAGTTTTATATGATTAAGGCTTATGATTTGTTTTTGAGTAATCTTTTTTTTTTAAAAGATTTATTTATTTGTTTTATGTGAATATATTGTCTCTCTCTCTCTCCATACATACCAGAAGAGGCATCAGATCCTATTACAAATGGTTATGAGCCACCATGTGGATGCTGGGAATTGAACTCAGGACCTCTGGGAGAGTAGTCAATGTTCTTAACCCGCTGAGCCATCTCTCCAGCCTGTTTTTGAGTAATCTTTAAAGCTCATTTTATTTTTCATTTATATAAAGTATCTGGATATTATTTGTATTAACATTATTTTCACTTTACAAATGAATTTGAGTATTCTCACTTTAAATAGTAAAAGCCTATAATCTCCAGTTTCACAACCCTGAATACCTGAATCCCAAAAGTTTTTCATAAATTTTTCACAGATTTATTTGGAGGCAGAGCCTGATTTGAATTGATAAATGGCCACTTATAAGTTGTTTTTGTCCTGTTGGTTGTGGTTGTTTATACCTGGCTGCCTCAGACTCTGCGGGATAATACTAATGTGCAGTTTATACACCTTAAAATTTTGTAAAATCTAGAAACTTTCGATTTTGAACTCAACTGGTTTGTTGCTATATCCTGTTTGCTGTGTAGAACAAGGAAGAAGTCATGGCTGTGAGACTCCGGGAAGCGGATAGCATAGCCGCTATGGCTGAACTACAGCAGCACATTGCTGAGCTTGAGATCCAGGTATGATGTGGGAGTGCAGAGTAGTGGGTCCTTGCTGTGTCTGCCTCCAGATGGCTGTGGTTCTATTATCAATATTAATCCGCTTCAGGGTGCCTTTGTGCATGTGGGGGTGAGGGGGTCATATGGAGGCCAGAGATGAAAGCTGGGTGTCTTTCTCCATTGCTATCTACTGTGTTTCCTGAGGTAGGGTCTCTCACAAATTTAGTTAGTCTTCCTAGCTAGCCTACTCCAGGGATCCCTTACCTCGGCCTCCCAAGTGCTGGCATTGCAGGCAGCTGCCATGCTTAGCTGGCATTTATGTGGGTCCTGAGGATCTGAACTCTGGTTTGACTTAGCATGAAGTTCTTAGGTTCACTCATGCAATATATGCTTTTTTAAAGCTAAATGCATCCTTCATTGCATGTGCTTACTACAGTGTATTATACATTCATTCAGCTACCTTTGCTGCAGTGGACAATGCTGCTATGATCAGAGATACGTAACTACCTGCTAGACCTCCTGCACTCAGCATTAAGAATTATCTAGAACTGCTGGGCCATACAGTACTTCTGTTTAATTTTTTTTTTTTTTTGTGGACTTGAAATGGTATTTTCGGTAAAACATATCATTTTACATCCTTAATTCAGATCACAAGAATTCCATTTTTTCTTCTGTGGGGCACTTTTTTTAAGATTTATTTTTTATGTGTATAGTGTTTGACCTACATGTATATCTCTGTACCTTGTGCATGCAGTTGGCACAGAACCCACAAGAGAGTTTCATATCCCCACAGATGATTGTTTTTGATGCATAAAAGCTTTTAATTTTTTTGAAGTTCAAAATCTTAACATAGAACTTGGGTTAGGTTTTTGTTGCAGCTCCCGGTCCATCTTGAATAGCACTTGATCATGTCTTTGCACTGACCATTCTATTTAAAACAGAGAATGTACTGCCATCACGTCTGCTGAAGTCCTACCCTACCCTCCACCCTCAAAGTAATTTTTAATATCCTACTTTTCTCCCTAAGGTCTGTTTTTGTTTTCTTTAGTTTTATGTGTTTGAGTATTTTGCCTGTGTGTATATCTCTGAACTATGTTGTCCCCGAGGAGGTTACAACAGGGTGTTGGATCACCTGGAATTGGAGCTACAAATGGTGGTGATTTTATGTCTGAATATTTTTCTTGCATCCTGTGTATGCAGTGCCTGTGGAGGTCAGGAGAGGGTGTTGGATCCTCTGAAATTGGAGCTACAAATGGTTGTGAGTCACTGTGTGGATGCTGAGAGCTGAACCTTGGTCCACTACAGTAGTAATAAATGCTCTTCACTGCTGAGCCATGTCCTGGCCCCATGTCCCACTTTTAGTTTTTTAATTTATAAACTAGGATAGAGAAGTTAGTGTCCTATACAAGCAAAGTATTACAGGATTGCTTGTCTGTTTGGTGTCTTAGTTACACTTTTTTTTTTTAATTTTTTTTTTGAACATAAAATGCTTTTTTATAGCATGTTTTACAAGGGGAGGGGGTAAGAGGGGCCAGGTGGTGGAAAAGTACAGAATCTTCTTGGCCTGTGCCTTGAAACATGTCATGGTCTATACGGTACACTGCCTTGAATTATGATCTACCTACTGTTCTTCAGAAGATATGCTACACTGCTTGAGTTATGGTCTCCCTGCTATTCTTCTTGTAATAAACACTATGACCAAGAGCAGCACAGAAAGAAAGAGTTTATACAGCTTGGAGTTTGTCATCCAGAGAAGTCAGGGCCAAAACTCAAGGCAGGAGCTGAAAAGCCACTAAGGAACACCATGTATGTGTTTACTCCCTATGGCTTGGTCAGCCTGCTTTCTTAAAGCACCCAGGATCACCACTCACAGTGAGCTGGGCCTTCCCACATTAATCATCAATCAAGAAAGTCTACCAGAGGCTTGTCCACAGGTAAATCTGTTATGTGGGATATTTTCTCAATTGAGGTTCCTTCCCAAATGACTCTACCTTGTGGCCTTGTGTCAAGTTTACATAAAACTGGCTAGCATGTTAGTTTAAGTTTTGTTTTTGTTTTTGGGTTTTTTTGTTTTGTTATTTTTTGAGACAGAGTCTTTACATGTAGCTTAGGGTGGTCTGGAACTCACTATGTAGTGCAGGCTGGCCCAGAACTCCCAGAAGTACTCCTTTCTCTGTATCTAGACTGCTGTGATTGCAGGTATGAGGTACCATGCCTGGCTTATAAATTAGTTACTTAAATTATACACAAATCTGTATGGACTTTTCAAAAAGATTGCCACCTGTCTTAGTTATTGTTCTAGTGCTGTAGAAGACACCATGACCAAGGCAACTCAGAAAAGAACATTTAGTTGAGGGGTTAGTCAGTTGGTCATAATGGTGGGAGGAAAACAGACATAGTGCTAGAGCAGTAGCTGAGAGCTTTACATCTTGATCCACAGACAGCAGGTGCAGAGAGAAGAGAGGGAGTAGAGAATGAATAGTCCTGACCTCATATCCTTCCCGCAATGATGCACCTTCAACAAAGTCACACCTCCTGATTCCTCCTGAACCAGCTCCACTAACTTGTATTCAGACATAGGAACCTATAGTGCCATTCTCATTTAAACATGGTACCATCTTTTGAAACACAAAATAGCAAGATTCAAATTATGGTTTTGTCTAGGTGTGGTGCATGTAACCTCAGCAGCCTCTGTGTGTATGGCACATGTGTGAGTATGCAGGTGTATGTGCTCATGCACATACAGGTAGAAGCTAGAACTGGACATAGGGTGGAATCTTGTATTGTTCTTTGTATATATTGCCTTGAGACCCACTGTTTGGCTAGATTGACTGGCTAGTGAGCTCCTAGGATCTGCTTACCTCTGTTCCTCCATGATGTGGTCACAGGCATGTGCAACCATGCCTTGATTTTTAGGTAGGTACTATCTTGTAGAGCAAACTTTTTAACTCACTGAGCCAAATTAGTTTTTGTTGATACTGAATTACTTACTAAAACTAAGAACCTCATATTCTGCATGGTTTGCTTATTTGCATATTTTCTGCATATTTGCATGGTTACCTTGTGAAAAGTGAAAAAGGATCCATCAAATATTCTTAAATATTTCTCTAACTTGTTTTGCCAAGCCCTTGTTTTGTTACCTTGTTATGAGGTCACCTTTCTTAGATTCCTTTGTAACTGAGTACATAGGTTTATCCATGTCAAAAATGAGAGGCTCTCTTTTTATTATTATTAATTTTGGTTTTTTTTAGGCAGAATCTCATTGTGCTGCTCATACTAACCTATAGTTTATATGCCCAGGCTCTGCTCAAACCCATGTTCTTCTGCTTCTGCTTTCTGAGTGCTAGGATTACAGGGTATACCATCACAACCAGTACAGTTCCCATCTTTCTAAAGGCTAAATAGCATTCCATTGTATACATTGACATTTTCTTTATCTGCATATCCACACTTGCACACATGCACACTTGCACACACTCACATACCCAGAGATACACACATGCACACACTGAGGTTCCATGTTGACTGGTGTAAAATCAATTTTTTTCCTACTTCATCGCAAAGTTTATGTTTCTTTGTATATTGAGTCTTGATTTCTAGACCATTTATTATCACACTGAAAATGTGAAGCCTGGAGTAACTTCAGATACTTCTTTCTTACCCTCCATAATGCATGTTAGAGGTGCAAGTGTAAGGTGTGCATGCTTTCAGCTTCAGTAGCCAACATTATTTTGAACTTTATATAGTTACTTTCTTGCCAATATTTCACCTGCTGTGTGGACTAGCACTATAGAGGAAAAGCAAGCAAGCCTCTTTCTGAGTCTTCCCAGCATTTTTCCCCAGTCCATTTTACTACTGAACATTTTTCTGAGTCAGAAATCTCCCATCCTGGCTCACAACCATCTGTAATGGGACCTTCTGGTGTGTCTGAAGACAGCTACAGTGTACTACTCATAAATAAATCTTTAAAAAAAAAAAAAGAAGAAATAAAGAAATCTCCCATCCTTTTTTTTTCCTTTTTTTTTTTTTCAGCCCCAACTGGAGGTAACTTTCCTACAGTTACCAGAGCTGCCTTGTTTGACAAAAGTATTTGTCAGTTGCTTTTCCCTGCCCAATCCTATAAGAACTCCTCAGTGTGACATCCTGTTCTTTTGTCATCAGACTCCCATCTCCACCTTGGTTCTCAGCATTATGTCTCCATCCCACAGACAGCACTGCCCAGTTTTCTCTAGACTGTTCTTCCGGGGACCTCACGTTGGTCCAGATTTCTGTGCCCTTCTCTATACTATTGTCTTCTTTAACTTTCTGTACTTTCTGCTACTTTTGAGGCAGTTTTCTTGTCCTTCAGAACCGAGACTCATGTGCTCTTGATCTGACTTGCTGTTAATTTACTTAGAGGAAAATTTCAGTAAATGTCTCAGTAGCTCAACATTTATTATTTAATGTAGATTAGATCCACAGACAGCAATTCCAGCACTCTGAAGATAGATGCAGGAAGATAGAAAGTTCAAGGCCAGCATGAGCTACTTAAAAACAACTTCTTAAATTATTTTTGTTTAAATTTGAAACTTTTTTTATTATAAAATATTACATTAAGATCATTCACAGTTGAGAAATTGTGTCAGATCATTCTCAGGTTCCACTAGGGGGGGACTGTGAGTCTATATTTTACATCTCTCCAGATTAATGCTTCCAGTTAGTGTTCTATAGCCCTGTCTGACCTGAAACTTAGAGAGATCTTCTCGCCTGTGACTCCAGAATGCTGGAGACATAGCACTAGGTTCAGCCTTTGTTAGTTTCTCATAAACTAAATTGTTTCAAATCTTGGTATAATAAATTATATTGTTACACATGATTTTATTTTGGACTGTATAATCTGTTGTTCATATAATTAAAGCCTGCTTTTTAGTGTAATTATGAATATCCATCAGGCCGGGCGGTGGTGGCACACGCCTTTAATCTCCCAGCACTTGGGAGGTAGAGGCAGGCGGATTTCTGAGTTCAAGGCCAGCCTGGTCTAC